TAAGCTGCTTCTCACCATCTGAGGACATGACTATCCATCTTCAAACAGGAGAGATCCTCACTTGGAAACACCAGACGTCTTGCCTGAAAGACCCAGCTCAGAAGGCTGCCGAAATCATACTAGGGTCAGAGAGAAACACCAGACTACCATCTATTCTCCATCCCAAATGCTCTTCGGTCGAGACCTTCGTCAGCAGCCTTGTGACCACCTGTTTGGTCGCCCTAATGATGCCCCTTCATCGCCTGAGGAATACATCCAAGATGTCCAGGCCCGGTTTGAGGTGATGCAACATTCTGCACGAAAGCGAGTCAACTTGGTGACAGAGAAGGCGAAGACCAGATATGACACGAGAGCTACTAGACATTCTATTAACACAAAACTGGATTTACTGCAAATATTTACTTTCAACAAGATCGTATACGTGCATAAGATAATTTTCATCAGGAATAGAAAATATTTGAAAGTATAAAGTAATAAGGAAGATAAAACTTACCGAAATAAGGTAATCCCTTAGTTTTCTATTTTTGAAATTTATGGGTTTTGTGTCCCACAGTACAATATTTTCCCTGTAGAAATCAATCAGATGAAAAATCTGATTCTCGTTCCAACGAAATAGCGCCATGTTTATTATTTTTTTTTCTCTCGAAATGACCAGTAAAGCATGTGATCGCTAGAAACAGTCTCATTAGTTAGAGACCCCGATTTTATCGTATGCTAGTGAGCACTAGATCTGAAGTCGTGGCAGAGAACATGACCGATTTTTGGCGCATGCGCAGATCCTTAAATTTGTTGCTCTGCGAGAAAGTCGGCCGAGAAAATCGGAACGTGTAGGCAGGCCTTTGCTCAGAAGGCCTGTGTGTCGAAAATTCCATATCGGCAGCGGGGGCTTTGAATTATTTCAGACGGCGAAACTTGTGAGAAGTAATTTGTGGGACAAAGGAGGGACTAGGAATGCTTGATGGACATTTGTTGCGGAGTTGTGATGTGAGTGAAAACGTCTATTAAAATTTTGAATATACTAGTGAATGGAAATTAATTTCTGGCTAATTGTCGTGTCGGAAGGAGGAAGAAATTTAAGAAAAGGAAAAAAGTAATTTTTATTGTCAAAGAGCTATTTTACAGATTGAAGATTATGAAATAGGCTCATTTTTTTAGTTACAGCACACAAAGTCTGAAAACAATTAGATTTTTACATTATATACAGCTTTGTAATTACACTATGTACAAATCCTTCAACTGATAGTCATCCAACTTATATACCGCCTTCTCAGGTTTAGGAACAAATTATCATATCACTATCAGTTAAATGATATAGAGTCAGAATTTAACGTGCTGTCTTTTAAGACAATGGTTAATAAATTGATTAGGTATTAGATTATTTTTGAGAATTTTCATAAGGAGCAAAATTTCGCATTGTAGATCTATCGTATCTGTGCAAATATTTTTAATATGTTGTATTTGATTTATTATTGTATTACTAATCACTTTTTTGGAGATGTTGGAATTCCAATGTATTGTTAGTATTGAAACTAAAGTTTTCTTGTTTGTCAAACAGTAAAATTTTTTTTTTTGTAGTTAATGATTTGAAGATCGAGATAGTTTATGCTATTTTGCGAATTATTAGTTTCATTAAGTGTAAGGCAATTTGAATAAATCACGGAGTATTCAATCTTATTAAAATTATAAATGTAATAAGATCATCTATATATCTGTAAGTGTGCTTTTGGTAATTTAATTCTTGCTGCTGTAAACTTTTTTGGAAGTTAAATTCTTTGATAAATAAAAAGATATTACAGATCGAGGTGCTGGAATGGGAAGCCCTTTGGAAGACCTCTGACTTGTTTAAAAAGTTGATTTTGAAATTTAAAGTAGTTATGAAAAGCGTGCATTTTAGGTAGGTTTTTCCATGTACTAAGATTCATAATCGTGAGCATATCAGGGAAGAGTTTAGGTAGATCTAGTAGACTAGTATAAATTTCTTCTAAAGGAAGTGAGGTATTCAAGTTTTCAAAGTCATAGTCACAGTTAATGTTTTGTATGTGAATTGTTTGAATGGCATTAATGACAGGAATTATATACAAATGCATATAGTATATGCAAAAATATATTTGAATTTGCACAATTTTTCTTAAGTTTTCTTTTGCATAATAATTATTTTATTTTTTACTTTTAAATTGTAATATATCATTAGTTCAACATAAGAATTAACAATATATTCCTACAGCTGAATGGCATGATGATGGCATTTATGTGTGCACATCTAGTGAGTTCTCTGTTTTAAGAACTCTTCTGCCCAATATGCTGCATTCAATTTTTGTTTCAATGCCCGTTTAGCAATAAATCCAGCAACATAGGCTGACGAATTTTGATCATACACATCATATAATGCACCTGCATCAGGAACAAGTAACATTAGATGCAGAATCAGTAAATGAAAATATGGGGTCATCAAAATCAATTTCTAATGCATTTTCCTTCATTGCCAAAAAATGGCTCAGAGTTCTCTGTAACTGTAAGCAATTACAGCAGGTATCAAAACTGCATCATTATCAGGTCCACAGTTAGAGAACTTACTAATGCTAATTATATTCTGTGCCATTAGAATTCTTATTCTTACCTCTGTTAAAAGTCATATGCAGTGGGGTGGTCCATTATTGCCACCTCTGCGTCTGACAACAGAGAAAAAATTTTCTAAGGTGTCCTGTGTAAAACGACACATAAAAATAAAAGGAACTTCTTGTAGGAGAATAGGAATCAACTGCTGAAATGCAGAGAGTCAATTTCCATCCAAACAAACTAGGAAATGATATTTTCTTCTTTGTTTGGAATTCAATTGATTTGATAAAATCCAGCATTTTTGCCCAAGTCTTTAAGTGCACAGAATTTTACTAACAGCTGAAAGATAAGGATTAGAATGCTTAATTTTATGACTATTACAAACTGTTAAATAATTTATTGACGTTTGAGCAGAAGTTCAGCTGTATGACTAGCCGATGCTGGTAGAGCACCCAAGTGCACTGAGATACCATAAGGCCAGACGCTACAGAATGGCTAAATACCTGAGCAGCTAATTTCACGCTCATAGTGCTAAGGCCGTCTACATTAACATGGCGGTCAGATAATTTTGGAACACACCTGTGAGTCATTTGACTATCAAACTCCCACAAAGATCTTAATGTGCTTCCAACTAGCAATTTGATCATTTAAAAATTTACTTACAAAAATTGTTTCTCAAGCATTTTAAAAGGTGAGGCACATCAAAAAGCGTGAATACCTTTTTATCTTGGAACATAATGTATGGTTTTTCTTCTGTGACTTTCATAGCTTTGGTGTAACACATCATATTATTGGCCACCACCATCACATACAATAGCCACAGGTGTCAAACCACAGTCAAATAATTTCGACAGGGCTTCCATAACCAAAGTACATAACATAAAACCTGGTGTAGTGTGAGAAGCAAAAAAGTAACCAAAAACTTGTTTTCCACTTTTTACACAACCCACGTACCATAAAAACAAGAGCATGAGTTGCATATTGTGGAATTACAATGGTTTTATTGTAAGAACCATAATCTTCAAATCCAACAATACGGTCATTTTTTTTGTCATACATTACACAAATTGACTTTCAAAGCTCATTTCATCAAAGATGCAGTACTTGTCTGGATATTTCAGCTTACTGACGGCAAGCCTCATGGCATTAAGCACAGCAGCTGAGAAGCCAGGTTCTAGATAATATGTTAGAGAAATTGCTTTTAGAAGTGTTGGTTTGCTTGGTAAATGTAAAAAAGCTTTTAATACATTATAAGTTTTAGGACTACTTAAGTATACCTGGAGGCATAAGTTTTTGTCCTCCAGAGACCAACGTCGTCCATACTTTGAAACAGAGGATGCTTTTAACTGCATCCTTTAATATTAATTGTATACACTGTTAAACTTAACCATTGGCGAATCATCTGGAGTATATCATTTAAAGAACAGTTGTTTCTTTTTAATTGCCCTTTAATGAAATGAAACTTGGTTGACTTAATTTTGTCCATCAAAGGGGGGAGGGTAGAATTTTTGGCGTGGCGAGCGGTTAAAGAATTCTAGCAACAAACTACAATCTCAAATCCAAACCAGATCCTTTTATCTTGCCGCCTGGTAAAGTCCACTTGAAACAGCGGGTGTGGAAGGTTGATCGTGGCGAGGGAAACCGGCAGAGAGTGTGGTAGTCATTCACTAGCGTCTACATTCCCAAAACGGCAGCCTATGAGAGACGCGATTCTATTATTTTCATCGGGGAGTAGGGAATTTACGAGTTAGAATGGTTTTCTGAGGAATGCCGAGCGGCAGTGCGACTATATGTTGCTTACATTTGGAAGTTCAAAAAATTGCTAAACTGGATTGTCTTAGTTTCTACGATTACTTACAGGGAAATATTAGGCATTTTTTTCGGTTTGCTGATAGAGGGCAAGTAGACAATTTACTTTATAATCCACTTTTATCTATTTAAACTTCAGAAGATTTAAGATGAAGAGAATATATTTACACAACAGAACGCAATCTTTAAGACATGTAATCTTTTAAAAGACAACAGCAAATTTTTAAACATTACTGTACAAAATATCTTCTCTTTAATTATAATAATAATGAGATAATGCATGGATGAGTTGTTTTTATTTATATGATAACTATGCATTTATAAAAAGTTTTTAGTGATGAACTATAAATAATATTTTTAATTATCGATGTATTGTTTTTTTAAAGATTTACATGTCTTAAGCTTGGTTCTGTTTGTGTTAAATATATTCACTTCATCTTAAATTCTTTTGCGGTTTTTAATTTTCCAACTTGCTTTTCAGAATTTACGGGTTATTTTTTTCTAGTTTACAAATTATTTTTTTTTGTATTCATTCTTGCTCTTGACTGTTGCGGTGTGCGCTTCAAAAGTAAAGCATTTTTGCTCTGCTTATTTTTGTAGCTCTTATTTAATATTTTACAATATTCTTTTAGCTGTTATTTAAAATTTTACACTTTTCTTTTCAGAATTTACGAGTTATTTTTTTCAGGTTTGACAAGTTAATTTTTTTTTTTTTCAGGTTTTCCTTTCAGATTTTGCGGTGTGCGCTTCAAGTAAAGCATTTTTTCTCTGCTTATTTTTGTAGCTCTTATTTAATATTTTACAATATTCTTTTAGCTGTTATTTAAAATTTTACAATATTCTTTTCAGAATTTACGAGTTATTTTTTTCAGGTTTGACAAGTTAATTTTTTTTCAGATTTTACAAGTTATTATTTTTTTCAAATTTACAAGTTATTTACTATATCTTTTGCTTATCTGTGAGCTAATTTAAGATTTTACAATATTCTTTTCAGGTTTTACAAGTAAATTTTTTCAGGTTTTCCTTTCAGATTTTGCAAGTTAATTTTCTGTTTATTATCGTGCTTAACTTGATTATTATTTCAGAAGTAATAAGGCATATATATTCAGCACTGTTTTTATCCTTAATTAATTACTGGGCGTTATTAAAGTTTGATTTTTTACTTTTTGGGTAACAAACATTTCCATTAATTACCTTTTTTTCTATGTAAAAACTCTGGTTTGGGAATACTTACTTCGAGTACCAATTTTTATTTTTCATAGGTACAGAAGAAACTGAAAAGTTTTTTTTTTTTTTTTTTTTTTTTTTTTGCAAAACTGTTTCTTATGCTTGGTTGATTTTAAATACAGCATTATTGATATATATTTCCGTACAATAATTTTGGTTTTTTGTTATGAATATTATGCGCTAAGTTATACAGCTGCTATTTACAGCATATTTATATATACACACCATGATAATGACTCTGTGTATTGATGCAATTTAAAAATCATCTAAATATTACTGTTTTTTCAAGTGTTCCTATTTAGATTGCCATTTGTATTTTTCTGATAACTACAGAGTTCTTATGTTGTTAAACTAATAACACTAAGAATATTTTATATACTAATATGTCATCGATAAGTTCTAGGTTTTGTTGTGCTTCTTGTGACTGCTCATTTTCTGTTAAAAGTAATTTATATAGACACATAAGAAATTTTCATTCTGAACATAAGTTGGAAACTTATAATGAAAGAGATTGTACTCTGTGTAATGAAAGGTTTACTTCTATGAAAGAGTTGCATGACCACATAGATTCTGTCCATACAGATATAAGGTTAAATTTTCAGGAACTTATTTTTCATTCTAAATCTGAATTCGAAAATTGGAAAGAAGATGTTGAAAAAAGTAGTCAGTCCTTTTTTGCCAAACGAACGACTAAACGTTTGGCAGATGGGACAATTCGTAGTTATTTCTTATGTAATAGAAGTGGTTCATGTAAAATAAAAACTGACAGAATACGTCACATGAAATGTGGAGGTTCAATTAAAATAGGGAAAACATGTCCTGCTGAAATAAAAGTGTCAGAGAAAGAGATCGGGGATATTTTTGAAATTAAAGTTAGTTACCAATCAGTGCATGTTGGTCATAGGCATGAAGTTGGGAAATTGCCGCTCTCAAAAACTGAAAAATCTAAATTAGCAGGTATGATGCAGCAAGGTATTCCAAAAGAAAAGATTTTAATGTCCATTCAAAGTAGTTATTCACCAACAAAAAGAATTGGTGTTACTCACTTAAAAGATTTACAAAATATTTCTAGAGGTATTCAGGTAAATAATGAAATTGTTTTTGACACTAATGATGCAGTATCGGTGGACTTAAAAGTCCAGAAAATGAAAGCTGAATCTGGTTGTCCAATTTTGTTGTACAAGAAAGTTGGTGACGAACTGCCAGGTTTTCAAGGTGTATCAAGGGATGATTTCCTTTTAGGGGTTATGAATGGTGCCCAACTTAGGTTGCTGGAATTAAACAGCAGCTGTATTATGATAGACTCTACTCATGGTATGAATCAGTATGGATTTCAATTAACTTCTGTACTTGTCAATGATGATAATCATGAAGGTTTTCCTGTTGCTATTTTGTATTCATCAAAAATAACAGCACAAACTTTTATACCATTTTTTTCAGCTATTAAAGATAGAGTTCCTAATCTTAAACCTAAGGTTTTCATGTCAGACGATGCTCCGGCATTTTATAATGCATGGTGTCAGGTTTTTGGTGAAGTTGATAAGTGTCTTTTGTGTAGCTGGCATGTTCGCAGAGCATGGAATAAAAACTTATCTAAAATAAAAAAACAGTGACTTAAGGTTAAAAATTGCAAATGAGTTAGTGCAAATAATGCACGAAATTGACATAGTGTCTTTCAAAAGAATTTCGGATATCTTTGTCACCAGCTGTTTGTCTAATGAAGAAACAAAAGCTTTTGGAGAATATTTCTACAAAAATTATATGTCTCAGCCTGAGAAATTGGCCTATTGCTATCGAATTGGATTAGGGGTTAATACAAATATGAAAGTTGAAAGGTGGCACAAGCAGCTTAAGTATGAACATGGTAACGCAAAGGTGATAAAGAGACTAGATTATTCTTTATCTTTGGTGTTAAATGCTATTGCAAGGAAACTGATGAATCG